ATGCGACCTATATACTACTAATATACCATATTTATTGAAAAGAGGGATAGACGAAAGGTAGGACAACGGGAGGAGAATAAACATATAAAATCCGCCCGCGCCGAAGGTGCTCAGGGCGTGATCATCCGGAAGGCATACACAATTGTAAGGTACAAATTTACCTAGAGGGGGAATTTTTTGGTGAAAACAATGCGTTTTTGATAGGTCGTGACGGTTGGCTTCATTTTTTTTCCAGCACGGAATAGACTAATTCGTGCACGCACCCGCCCGGAACCGGCAAAAGAAAAGTGAAAAAAATACATATATATTTTTTCCCTTTGGTATTCGGTTTGACGCGTATTTTTTCCATGTGTTTTGTCGGGAGGTCGGGGGGACAGATTTTATGATTTCAATATTTTTTGGGTGACGATACATTGCCGAGGCTTGAATTCTTTGCGCGAAAATGTAAAAATAATTCGTAAATAGCAATGCTTTTTTACGACTATGTTAATACGAACGTCGTAAATTGCATTTTTTTAATAACAACATAAATAATACTACAAATAATGGTAATTTCTACCTCACAGAACATAAAAACATTATAAAATACGATATATAATTGCATTTTTAAGAATATCAACTTAAACCCATATATATATATAACTATTATAAAATATATAATAATCCTCAACGACAAGAAATACTTTAAAAAACATATCATATTTCAATCACTACCCCAAATTTAGAATATTCAACACCAAATAACCATCGAAATGCCGAAATAATCCACTTCGGAATAAAACGGTCAAAGAGGAAGAGAGGAAGGCATTATATTTAGACAAATATCAATTCCAAGGAAAAAAAAAACCCCACACTTGCTTCTTTCGTAATTTCTATTTTCGATTTGCTTTCAATATTGCGGCGATATTATTCTCCATATTAGTCAATTCTTAATCAATTAATCAATATATTAACACTTCATCGACATACTTTTCATTAAATACACAATATATTTATACCATTACCATAAACATCAAATAATATTCTTTAGCTTTCTAGAAATAATTCAACATCCAAAATCGTCGAGAAATTCAGATTTCCACGTAAATCGCGAATCTCGGTTCTCGCATCTCGAATCTCAAATCCCGAATAACGTGCAAATATCGGATCATATTGGTTTTTCGGGGCTTTAATCCAAACATCAAAGGTGTCGAGGCCATATGGACTGCTTTACAACCATTTCTATTAAAATTTTTCTAGCAGACAAAAATACAATCGTTCCCGGCATTCCCCCTCCTAGTGAATTCGTTACGCATAATAAACGACCCCAACCAAATCAATAAGTAATAAGCAATAAACAGAAAAATTTAATCCTTTAGATAAAAATAATTCAATATAAATTAATGTATATCAACATAAGATGTTGCAAATAAGGACCTCTTCGGACAAAAATAATGCAAATAAACATCAGACAAATCCAAAATACGAAGCCTATTTATATTTCTACTTAAATACATTTGCTTTAATATATTTAATATATATTAAACCAAATATTTTTATCGACAAAATCCACGCAAAGAAATTAAACATCAACAAAATAAAATTTAAACACGATATTATTAATTTTCCCAATCAAAACAATATTTTTATATTTTTTATATATCGTATTTAATATTAAAACAACATATTATTAACAACAAAACACAATTTAATTTATTTACACGACAACTATATTTAAGAACCAATCCTTCTTCAAATCCAATCGGTATTCCTTTCGATTTTAAATTTATATCGCATAACGCCATAAATACCTTTATATTAAAAATATCGCGAAAATTATCAAAATCAAATTTAATTCAAATTATTTATTAAGGTAATATATAATATTCATTTATATATAACTATATTTTTAAAATCATTAAACAAAAATTACATCGTCGAAAAAACAACACACAATCGAATTAACTTAAATATAAAAACATAAATAAACATACAATAAATAAATAATATATCCTAATAATATTACAAAAAATTCTATCAATAAATATATATACATAATTCGAAACACATAAAATATTAATATTTTTTTACATTTGAAAAAAAAAAAAACGATACTTAATTAAATATTTAATTTTAATATTATTAGACACATATAATTCGAAACTAATATATTTCTTAAAATCCAACGTCTTCTAAAACATATCATTTAAAAATTATTTTATCAACATCCATTTCGAAACGATTATTTTTTTATTCAATTTTCGTAATACTAAATACAAACAATATAATATTTATTCGACGCCTCCTAAATCAATAAACATAAAGAAATATATAATTAACAATTTCATTCATTCACTTCCAGCCTAAAGTAGTTTCAGGCCCGTGTTGAGCAGCACAGCTAAGCGATGCAAGCGAAAAACTTTCGAAAAGGCGCAATCGGCCTAGCTACAAAAGGCCGTAGCCAGCAAGTCGGACAGGTCGACGGTCTGTTCTTCAATGGGCCTCCGCCACCAAACATTCAAGTCCTCCTGCGGGACCAACCAAATCAGGTAGGCAAAGCGACGGACGGGGTCTATGACCGGGCACCTAACGGTCGATCTGCCATCGTCTATCATCCAAAAGCTTATCCAAAATCGATAATAATAAACATCAATATTACTATTATCAAAATTTAACATTCATTACGAAATTTAATTTTAACAAACCATAATTAAATAAATCGGATTTTTATCGATAAAATTAGTTTTATTTATACATTCAATATTAAAGAAAAGAAAAAACAACTCAATAACCAAAAAATCAAAAAATAATAACAACATATTATTTATTACTCGAAACAAAAAATATATATATATATATACATTTTAATATAAATATCTTTACACAAATCTCCTTTTCGACCGGCCGGCACACAAACCTCAAAGGCCAATAACAAAATAAATCAAACGTAAAGCATATTCAATATTTCCTTTCAACTTTCACTTTTTTCCCCAATAGCCATGCTATGGGGTCTTGCAAAACTAATAGGCGGACGGGCGCCGTCGGGTCACAGTCAGAGCTGGTGGGCGGATGGTGTCCTGGTCATGTTGTGATGGGGTGTCCGGGTCGTGTTGTGATGGTGTCCCGGTCGTGTTGTGACGGTGTCCCGGTCCTGTTTTGATGGTGTCCCGGTCATGTTGTGGCGGGGTGTCCAGGTCGTGTTGTGATGGTGTCCCGGTCGTGTTGTGACGGTGTCCCGGTCGTGTTGTGACGGTGTCCCGGTCCTGTTGTGACGGTGTCCCGGTCATGTTGTGACTGTGTCCCGGTCATATTGTGTTCATGTTGTGACGGTGTCCCGGTCGGGTTGTGATTGTGTTCCGGTCGTGTTGTGATTGTGTTCCGGTCGTGTTGTGATTGTGTTCCGGTCGTGTTGTGACGGTGTCCCGGTCATGTTGTGACGGTGTCCCGGTCATGTTGTGACGGTGTCCCGGTCATGTTGTGACGGGGTGTCAAGGTCGTGTTGTGATGGTGTCCCGGTCATGTTGTGACGGTGTCCCGGTCATGTTGTGACGGCGTCCCGGTCATGTTGTGACGGTGTCCCGGTCATGTTGTGACGGTGTCCCGGTCCTGTTTTGATGGTGTCCCGGTCATGTTGTGACCGTGTCGCGATCATGTTGTGACAGTGTCTCGGTCATGTTGTGACGGTGTCCCGGTCATGTTGTGTTCATGTTGTGATGGTGTCCCGGTCGCGTTGTGATTGTGTTCCGGTCGTGTTGTGATGGTGTCCCGGTCATGGGGGTGTCACGGTCGTGTTGTGATGGTGTCCCGGTCATGTTGTGACGGTGTCCCGGTCATGTTGCGACGGTGTC